TTGGCATAACAATGTTAGTGAAGGGGTGTTAAGTATTGTGTGTCAACTAATTGTTTTCACAAAGAGTGAAAGTTTTGCTATTAATTTTTCCGATGTTCTTAACTGTCTCTGGCTGCTGGTTCTTTTCCCTCTTCTATCCTCTATTGAGTACATATAGTTATGTGGTTTTGTCTTTCTTCTGCCCATTAATTCTTGCCACTAGGTTGTTTCTTCTAGAAATGTTACTCCTTGGTGTTCTCCCAATCTTTGTGGATTTTCCTGCCTTTTGATTTTTAATGATCCCACTGTTCCTGGAGGATACTGGTATAGATCCTTAAATTTAGGAATCAAAAATAGTCTGCAAGTGGATTTCCTTAAAATAACCACATTTTCCTAAATTACTCCTGTTTGGAGAAAGACCAGGTGGCCTGGCATAGAGCTAACTGGAGTCACTGACCACTTCCCAGTTAACAAAAACAACTGCACTTCATGCCAAATGCACGTACAACTTATGTTCCTTTTCATCTCCTGTGGAACATAGAGCTTTATTGGCCCTGTAAATTACTTCAGGTCAAGAAAACATCACAAATCTAGCTGTGGAATGGTATATTGGTTGCTGACTTCCTCCAGCAGATACAAGGTACATCCTGTCCCATTATTTGGATGTGAGGTGTAAAGTAAATGCAGAGGAAGACAGACAGTTTCTTGGCTAGCTGAAGAAGGCTGAATTACCGGGGAGAGACTATTTCTGAATCTGTAACATGTCAAATGAATTATGTCAGGCCTTGTGACTCTTACTAACTATTGGAAAATATTTGCTTTTCTCCCTGATGATTCCCCAGATTGTCTCATAACAAAGAAAACGGTTTTAGCACCTTTCTGTTTTTCTTGTAAATAGCCATCTGTATGAGTCTGTTCTACAGTAACACAATCCTGCTCAAGGAGTTTTCTTCCAACCCTTAAATATAGGCATGTATATTTTTATATATATATTTTTATCTAAATAAAACGAATACATGGTTCAGAAAAACACCTTTTTCCAAGGGTAATTAGAGATGCTTTCACTGACAATGCTAGCTCAGCTTCTATACCACTGATGTTAGACTGTACATACCTGACAGGTTGAGGATTGTAGGTTCCTTCTATTCCCTCCTCCTCCCCCCCCAAACTGTCAGAGGGCATTGTATGAAAATCTGGTCTGTAGAAAGTTGTGCAAGACAAACTTAATCTAGTCAAGGACTTCTATTCTGAACAAGTCTTGGAGGCTTTTAATAGCACAAACATTGGCAGAGGAAATGGTCAAAATTTGGCATCATTTCATAGCTGAAGAAATAAAGCTTTGGAAGAGAATTTCACCTAGAAAGGTATGACTCAAGCAAGCTATAAAGAGACTGCTAGACACGTCATGCTCTCTGAGAGATTCAAATATAGGATCAGAAGATAAAGATTAAATTCTGCTTGCTGCACAGATGTAAACAGTTCCTCTACATACATTTTTAATTTCTTATAAATAGAAGGCGGGGGGGAAATAGGGAAAAAATTGGCCTACATGCATACAGAGCATGATCACTGCAAATATATTAGGATTACACTAAATGTTGAGAATTAATGAATGGGAAAAAAAGATATTCAAAACAGACATAAATATCAGCTTTCTAATAAAGTAACTCTCCTTACCTACATTTAAAAGGAAATTGCAGTGAAGTCACTGATGCACACCAAATAACTAATTTTACAATTATTTAAATGGCCTCTTTTCATACTACTAATTACCCTTTCCTGCTTTTTGGAGACAAAACTCTAGAACCATTCCCCGAAACAAGTCTTGATGTTAATTTGATTGCCACCAGTACCTGAAGTGGGAGAGGTAAAATGAAGAAACTGGTATCAGTCTCAGCTCAAGAGGAGCCTCACTGAAAAGCAACCACCACTTGGAAAACTGCAGCCTTTCTTGTAAATATAGGCAACGTTCACTGTGTTGGGACTGTAACATTATTTTGGAAGCTGGTCTGTCTGGCAGAGGTTCCTGCTCATCAAAGGCAAGGTTCTGAAGAAAGATATGGCTGCAGCTGGCTCTCAGCTTTTGCTGAGTTCTCAGCTCAGCAGGGGGGGTTGGATAATCCTTCCACTCCAGGAGGCAACTTGATTTCTCCTTGTCTAGTATAATCTCACATTTCCTCATTATCACCAAACTGGTTTTACAGTTGTGACAGTTCCCATCAGTGGTTCCTGACCTGAGATGACATATTCAGATGCCTGCCCTGACAAAGATGGCACAATGGCAGTAGACCTGAGTGGCAGCATGGTGTACCATTATATATCCTGTGGTTTGGGTAATGTACTTTGATTTATGTGGAATTCTTAATAAGCAACGTTTTATGTTTTGGCACCACCAAGAGCTAGTATTGCTTACTGCTACAGTAAGTCTCTAAATAGAAATGACAATTCTAATAAAATGCATTCTATACAAACCTTGGGTTTAGTCCCTGCTTTTTAGAAAGTGTCTAATTAAAATGCTGAAAAAAAACCCCTCACTTTCTCTCAGGGCCACACGAAGAGCTTTTTTTTTTTTTTTAATTGCTTTTTTTCCCCCTAGAACCTTATTCATCCTCCAGTGAATGTTTTCTGCTGATGTAGCTAAACTTTCAACCTACTTTGTAAATGCTCTTTGTTTTGGGAGACAGAACCTAAAAGCAGGCAGACATTTACATGTAATATTAGTTGTACTTTACATCTGTAAGTCTCAAATTTATATCTAAAATGGTATGTACAGCAGCCCCCAAACCCGAGGCAGTTTCCGTCTTTATTCTGAAAGCTTTCCAGTCACCTTAAGTTGGCATCATGCACACACCTGAAAACTCCATCAGCAAAAGGAGACACGTGGTAAGTTCCTGCCTTAGCCTACTAGAGATCTAGCTGCATCTTAAGGCTGGAGTTAGTAATAAAGTTCAGTAGAGCAGGGACTGAACAGCAAGGCTTGTTACTGAATTATACACTTCCAAAAGGGCTAAGAAGAGGCCTTAGCCAGTATGGATGAAGGAATAATGATTAATAGTGATCTGAAAAAATTTAGCAACATTTATTTACTTCTGTTAAGTTTTCTTCTCCCACAAGTGTCATTATGATCTACATATTCAGAGGATGGTACATGTCTGTCTACACAAGGAAGAATTCTTTGAAGGCAGTCAGACATGTCAAAATTTACTTCAGACAAGTCCCTGTCTCATTTGATTTGAGAATCTGTAAAATGGCTAGCAAAATTAAATTAACAGAAAATCTGGTTTTCTATAGTGATGTTTGCAAAGTTGTTTAGCCCACCATATTAACATCCTTCAAATGGATTAAATTACTTAGGATTTTAAAAAAGGTTGCATGCATGTGGAAATACTAAAAAGGGTTGCATGCATCTAAAAATGCATCTTTATATTTTTAGAATTCATGTATGTATACTTGCTCAGCAAGGCTTTAAGCATCCATTCAATTCTTAAGCACCAGTAATGTAACAGAATTCCTCAGACAAGATACTTTCCTGAATTTAAATAGTATGGCTTTTTAAATGATAATTTGTATCTACTGAAATTTTAATGTTAAAATAATAATTTTTATCAACTGGAAGAGAAAACTTTAAAACTGATGTTCAGATTACAAAACTAGTGAAATTATAATCACAGAATCTGGAAATGAAAGTAACAAATCAGCATAAATTCCCTTAGTGTATAAGAGATTTAGAAAACTACAAATATACATAATAAATATAAAGAAAGCATATAAAAGGTACAGTGACCTAGTTTTTTGGCACGTCAAAGACAAATTCTCAGCTTGGATTCCTCTATTTAGAGTGAAGCATTTAAAAGCTAGATGCCTGACTCTGATGTAATCAACCAAGCTTATGTTTATCTCACTGGAGATAAATGGAAGTTACCAGAGCAGAACTCATCTCATCCTAAACTAAGCACCTCTGATATATCAGACTTTTTGTCCCTTTAGATACTGAATTTTATCCCTGCTATACAAGGAGTGTAGGATGAGTAGCTCAATTTGACATCTGAAGTTAGGTGTAATTTATCACATTTTTAACTTATTTTACCAAGTCCATTTAACAATATTGTCTAAAGAAAAATAACATTTGAGTAAAATATCAGAAAAAGCAAACTTCTTCATTGTTCTTTGCATCACCCCCAGGTTTGTATTTTTTAAAAAAAAAAATTCACCACCTGAAAGCAATGTCAAAGCGTATGTTTAAGAAACGGTGCCTATGAGCCTAAAGTCAAAGACCCATTAATACATAATTTGTGGAAAACATAGTGGAATTGATGGTGCCCTTACTTGCTCATTTGCCGCTTCCTACACCAAGCAATTGCAAGGAGCAAGGAAGGAGTAAAACAAATTTCATAAAATTTGTACCTCCTAACACCAGAAAAACTTTTTACAAACCCTGTGTGCTGTGAAACCAGTGCAGCTGATCATCATTTTGAACAGAAGAGGACAAAGTGAATTTTTGATGCAACATTCTGAAATTCAAATTCAAGCGTGCAGTCCACACAACCTGTATCTTGAGCAGGTAACCTGAACTTGCATAAGACCTAAGAAAACGAACAGATCTACCAGGACCAGTTTCCCCAGTACCTAGGCAGGGCTATTTGCAAATGTATTACACTAACACAGGGCAATTCACTTGTTAATTCTGTACAGCATTTCCTATATTTTGGCTAAGTATTCTCACTATTATACAATTTGCAAGTTTTTAGAAGTGCAAAAACAGCTCTAGAAAACACAGTTGTCTCCGCCAACAAAAAAGATGACAGTCATACCTTTTAAAGTTTTCTGATAGAACCCAAAGAATAAATTCTCATAGGAAAACTAATTCAAGAAAATTAAGATGAGCAAAAATAGAAAAGATACTGGTTTTAAATATGATTTTCAAGGGAAATGGAATAAAATAAATCTGTAAGATATTACATAGGGCATCAGGTAAATTTGCCTATCTGCTCTTTGTATTTTAATGCTGAAAAAATCCCTACCTTCATATAATTTTGCCATCATTTCAAAAATCTGATGTGTGTTCTTCCGACAGATATCTACTGGATCATCCAAGAGCTCAGTGAGGGCCGAAATCACTCCATTTTGTATCAACCCTTGCCTACAAACAACATTGGATGACAGATTTAACTAAGCATAATAAAATTCCCATGTATTTGTAAGATGCTTAATCTTAACTAAATTCTCTTATTTACATTGAACCTGTCTTGCCAAAACTTAGAAATTCTGTTCTTATCACTTCCCATTCAATTCGGTAAACTCTAGGATTACACCCACCTGCCAACATTATGCATAGCCATTATACAGAGGATTTCTGTTGTTTTTTGTCGGACAGTACTGTCGCGATGTAGCAGCAAAGTCTTCAGGTTATCCAAGAATCCTACAAGACACAGTAGTACATTTCAACATTTCTCACCTTCAGCATTAATTTGAAATAGCAATACTAATTTTTATCTCATAATTTGAAGTGAAAACAATCAGAATTTTCATCTTGTCCTGACCATGAAACTCTCATTGTCATATCTCAAGTAGGGAAGAAAGTTCCAAGTTCCAAGGCCTACTGCCAAAAATGCCATGCTACAAGCAAGCTGCTGACTTCTGTATCAAGTTAAATCCTAATCTTGCAAATATTTATGAAGTGGCATACCTTTAATGTAACTCAAGTCAGCAGAGCTACTGATGTTTTTAGAAAAGCACATGTTTGCAGGATTGATTTTTTTAAAAAACTTTCTTTAGGTGTAGCCTGGGCTATGTAAAAAAATAGTGTTGCTTTTCACATGTAGAAAAAATTTGGTGAACCATTAATGATTATGTGTATATACACACATAACACTGACCCCAAAAAATCCCCAAACACCAATCTCACATTGCTTCATCGGTTACTGTTAATCAAACAGTAACTTAATACATTTTGAACATGATTATTGGGGAGAAAAAGCAGTGGCAAAGCAGAAGACTTCTTCGGTGTTACATAATCAGCTATGTAGATACACAACAGACTGCTAAAAATTGTGAAGATAAGCTTGCATGGGTTTTTTTTCCAAAATGCAAACTTAGGATTCTTCCAAGTGCTGGGATAAAAGCTCTTGAAAATACTGGTGGAGAGATATAATCCTGATGGCTGTGATAAATTTGGTTATATTGTCTGGTATCTTCATTTCTCATGAAGTTCCAGGGTGGTTTTTTTATAGACTAATTCTACAATCACTAAGATACTTCTGAGTAGGAGTTCTGCATAAAAAGCTCTGACGTTTTGTCTCTCTGGGAAAGTTGTATCTGGATGTGCCATACTATCCACTGCTGAAGGAATGAATAGCAAAAGATACTTCAAGAATTTTGCAAATGATCTTGTAAAACTTATCTACATATTAAAAGGTTCATCAGATTTTTTGCCTGTTATTATTACAGGTTCTGAGATATGAGTATTTTGAGCACCTCAAGCATGAAAACTCCAGGAAGGTACCACTGTCCTATGCCATATGTGGCAGAAAATGTCTAATGAAGGAAGAAAAAAAAAGTGGATTTTGCCTTTTTTTCCTGCTCTAGGATAACTAAAAGCTTTTTCTTTTCCCCTCACTAAATAAAATGTATTTAGTGGCTTTATGATATTAGAAATTCATTAATTCACTGCTTTATTTTCTCCTGAAAGGTTCATGGACAACAGGATTAGAAAAGATTCCAAGCAAATGAAATTTAACTAAGTGGCAAGGGGGTTGTGGTGGGGGTGTTTCTAACTTTGGACTAATTAAACTGTTTGGTTTTGGTTTTGGTTTGTTGTTTTGTTTTTTTTTTAATCAGCCTATGTTAGGAATTAGCTAAAATTCAGAATAAGCAAAAGAACAAAAAGATTCTGCACTACTTTTTATTTAGGGGTTAATAAAAACTATAGTGAGACATCGATAAATCCTAAAGTAAGGATACTCTATCAAGTATATGACATTACAATATTCTTTACATTTTTAATCTAAAACAAGTAGAGATTAAAATAAAAAAAAAAAATTTCATGGGCATTTCATGTCATCAAATGTATTGCAAGAAAAAAAGTAGCACACAAAAGTGAAGCGGTGGGTTTTTTCCCCCCACTGTGTCAAAGCTTGTGACAACAGATCACTTACCTATTTCTATTGCCTGGTAGACATTTTCTGGGTCATGAACCAGATCGCAGAGCGCCATCAATGCCCGCTGCTGTGTCAGCAGCTCAGGGGAATGTAACTCCTCACGCAGTTTAGGAAGGGCCCTCCTTCCAAACGCAATAGGAGCTTTTGTGGGATCTATATCAGGGGGGAGGCTGGCTGAGATACGAGCATGTGCCATCCTAAATTTTCCTAGAAAGAATTCTCCCTATCCCTAAATATGCCACAGAACGACTGTCTGAACCTGGTGATTGGATAATGTACGAAGTAATGAGCTACCGACTTTAAACAGTGCTCTGTGTCCCCGAAGAGCTATTTTAGCACACATTCATTGTTAGGAGGCTGTGAAAGAAGAGGCTGGAATCTTTCATGGTCATCAGCTGGTTTAATTCTGTACTGAGCACTGTAAAACAAAAACAGAGAAAGCTTAGAATTGCAAGGTGAGGGACGGAATATTTTCAAAGGGTTAAAGTGAAATAGTCCAATGTCTCAAACCAGGGAAGGGGCTCAAAATATTAAAGCCAAAGCAAACAAAGCCCATTAAAAAAAAAAAAAAACAAAAAAAAAACCAAACACCCAAAAAACCATTATTTTTAAAGGGGTCTAGTTGAAACCCGCCCTCAAAATTCGTTAACGTTTTAAAGAACGGGTGATGGCTGACCTCCCCCTTCCCTCAGCCAACGGCTCAGCGGACGGAGCACACGGACTCCAGTACTGGAAACCGCTCAGCACAGAAAACAGCTACAAAGCTAAAAACAACTGCTAAACAACTGCACTTGTCTCCTCGAAACAAAAGAAACAGACTAAATACTCAAAGGCGCCCAGTCCCACCACCACGTCGCTGCCTCGGCCCGTCCCCGGTTCCCGCTCCACCGCTCCTGCCAGCTACGCCACCGCTTCTCGCGCCCGCGTGCTCTAGTTGCCACAGCGACCAGCTCTTTGCGTACGCCCCGCTCCGTGAATAAAAAGTACGCAGCCACGCGTGCTGGTTCCGGTCCTGCGTCAACAGCGTAAACACCGCGTTTGGCGGTGGTTGCTGTGAGAGAGGAGCGTCAGCAGCGTAGTTGGCGAATTGGAAGCCGGGGCCGCTGCTGCGCGGGTGGCGGAGCGGGGCTGGGGCGGCTGGCTGAGGCGCGGGCCCTCGGGGCGGGGAGCGCCTGAGGACATGGGGGAAGCGCCGCCGTGGGCTTGCGGCCTGGGGGCCGTCGTACGTCGTTTCGCTGCTCAAGCGTGGAGGGAGGCTCTGTTCTCACCTCCGTTTTTAAAGTAATTTCAGTTGAACAAAATTGAAAAAAAATTCAGATTGAATAAAATACTGGTTGAGTTAATGGCAGAGGTAAGGCAGGCGAGGACCTCGAGGTACAGGGGTTGAAGGGAGCTCAGCAGCTTTGGACTAGGTTTTCTTTCCTAGTCTTCTCCAGAATGTCACTATAAACAGCTAGATTGTGTAGCAGGGGTTTCTGTTATCTAGTTTCTCATACCTGTATTCGAAACTTGGCCGCCTTTTTCAGTATGATTCTGCTAAAAAGTAGAGTGTTGTTCAGGGGATGGTACACAGGGAGAATAAATATATCACTGCAATGTTGATAGCACAATTTAAGGGTGCTCTGGATTCTCGGATGTGGTCTGGCATCAGGAAAAAGCCAACTCAGAACAGCTTGTGCTGTAAAAGGTTAGTTCTCAGTGCGAATAGAGGAGCCTATGTTTGAGTAACAATTGTAATCAAAATTCTTAAACTGGATTTTACAAAGCCAAAGTAATTCAGATCAGCCGGATTAAAATACAATACAGGAATAAATTCTGGTTTGTTGATCTTCAAAATCCATAGAAGGAAAATTACTATTTTTAAAAGTGTTTTCCAGAAAAGATTCTTTTTTCTGCAACATTTTAGAGCAGATTACTTAAAGTAGAGGTTATTTTCCTGGATCCAATTAGACTTCCATCAACTATATATTCATAAAGTTTCAACCTATTTCAGTAGGAAGAATGTGAACTCTCAGTGTAGAAGGGGCAGGAGAAGACCAGAGACTTCTCTTATCCTTCAGTGTTAACTCTGCTTTCATCCTTTTGGTGTGAGTTCCTCTGTCTTGTCCTTCACCATAGCTTGTAATACTGATCTTGGTTAATGGTCATGGCATTAACTTATGTACAGCTTCTGAATACCTTCCCCAGATCCTTTGTCTATCCACAGAATCTGCTGGTGATACTCTTCCTGCAATATTGATGTAAGGAGGGTTGTGATGCCATGGAGACACTATAGTCCCCGTCCTCCCTGGTGACCAAATCCCCTTCAGATCTGTAAGAAGAGAAAATCTGGATCTCAGTACTGGTCATTCTCAGTATTTTTAGCAGCTTTGTATTTCTTAAGTCATTCATCTTTTTTCCTCTAATAGTGTGGCTAATTTGTCAATTGGGATATGTTAATGTGTGTGAGAGATTTAGATTAAATACACTAAACATAAGTGACGATGACCTCTCAATTTTAGAATGTTTCTGTTTGGTTGCGTTGGTCCCTCCTGTACTTTGGATTTGCTGAGACTGTTGAATTGATTTTTTAGTTTGTGAAAGAGCTCTAGGAGATGAGCAGTGAGTCAGCCTATGTACACATGACATATTTACGTGCTTAGTATGTGTTGAACTAGAACGAGGAGAACATGGAGAACACAAGTTAGTGTTTGAAACTTACCAACTGGCAGGGTTTTTCTTTTTGTTTTCAGAATTAGTTTAAGACATTAACATAGCTGTAAAAATCATTCAAACTTGACAAAAGGAGAGGAGCACACTATAAAAAGGGTCTAGATCTCTGTGGTTTTATACAGTCACAAGTGCATGATAAATAGAACTATGCATATATGGTAATAAACAAATACTGTAATGTCACCTTCTTTGGTGAATAACCCATCAGCTGCAAATCTGGATTCTTTAGGGGGAAGTGGGTGTTTGAATATGGTTGAGATCATATCAGTGCCTGAAGTGGTTTAAAAGCAATTCCTCACAAATGAGAATAAACCATTAATTCTAAGTAGTAGACTAGCAATTTTTTTGAGCATTATGCTTACTGTGGCGTTGTAAAAACTGTAGTTTTTGTCATTATATACTTACTGGTTATTTAAAATTACTTGTCCACATTGATTTGCCCTTTAACATTTTTAGTCTGCTGCAGGAATGGGAGAGGCTTGTTTCCTGGATGTTAAGAGGTCCAAGCCTGTTTAAGCATTATCAAAATATGACTTTAGAATGTGACAGCTTTCTTTTGTCCTGAAATTTGGAAATTTAAATCCTAATGAAATAAATAGTAAAATCTTTTAGCATCCTAAATTGCAGTCTAGCATTCTAAATGCTGTCTAAACTAATGAGGTGATTAACAATACTTGGGCAATACAAAAGAGCTGTGTGATTTCTTACTCCTTTTCTTTAGTGTTTGGTACCTTAGAAAGCAAGATTACTAATGACTAGAAAGACATTTATTTAATTCAGAATGTCTCATTAGTGGCATGCACATCTTGACTCTAAAGCTGAGATGAAATCAAGTTGAAATTCTGAAAAAATCCCTCAGGTGTTTCTTTATAATTGCTACAGTGCTTTATATTAGCACTGTAACAGTTCCCCACTCCATTAGTTCCTTGTCTGCTGGGTTAATCCTGCTCTTTGTATCCATATATATTACTATCTTTGAAGAAAATAGAACTATTTTCTTATACAGGATTAGGGGACCCTAATGTTTATTATGACCAAGGGAATCTGACCACTAAAACCAGTTTGTTTTTTTAAAACTAGAGCCCTGTGTATAGTTAAATTACTCCAACTCCGCCTTCCCAACCTGGAAGAGAAGGGGAGGAAGGGAACTGTTGCAAGCCTGTTGCTATGGCCACGCAGCAGCAGGCTGAGCTGTTTGTGTGGCTGGAATCCTGCTGCATCAGCTACTGCACGGTGAGTCCTTCCTTACACTTTGCTACATGATGAACGTTCTTATTAGAAACATTCTTTTGAATGCCAGTAAGAAATTGGTACCCTATTAAGGGTCCCCTCCCCCAACAACCCACGAGGTTTCATTGCATAACCAAATTGGTATGTCTCAAGTGGGAGATCTAAATGGATTTGTGATTTTCATGTGAACATTATTCTTTTTCCAAGTCAGAATATCTACTGATTTCATTTTTTTTCTGAGCTGATCTTGGATGAAAGTTTGATGTTATGCCAAGAAATGTGGTGGCTTCATCTTTCCTCCTTTCTTCTGACCAAACAAAATCTGATATCCCCTAACAGCTATTAATGTGCTTCGTGCAGAGGCATTTCAAATAATGATGAGCAATATTTTTAAATTAAACACTGCAAAATCCTTTGAGGGCTAAACTGCAAGCACTTACTTTGAATTAAGTGAACAGTTCTCTGCCCTTCCATGGAATTAGAGTTGGTGCCTTGTAGTTTCTGAAAGCCACTCTTTGCTGCTACAGCTATGCACACTGGATTGGTCTCTTTAACATAAGAAACATGTTTTCTTTTAACACAAAGTCAAAAAACTGCAAGTTGTACTGAAAGGAAAAAAAAAATGGTTAATCTATAAGAACTGTTAATTTTTAAAAATTGTCTTTTCCCTGTATCGAAGCAATTTCTGAATACTGTGTTTCTCTTTATGTATTTCCCGTCTGGTAGAATTTAATTGAATTTGGAGGATGAAGTCCAACCTAATGCATTTGGTTCCCCCAGTGAGTAGGGACAGAATAATCTCACAGTTTCCCAAGGTAAGCATTCTTTATCCCTCTGGTCACAGGGCGTAGCACCTGCTACATTGAGCTATCTTTTCCTGGTGCTAATAGTATTTTATTTTACTATACAGTTGTTGTCTTCTGCTAAAATTACAAATTGTTTAAGGGTTTCTTTTGCAGATGAATGTGACCTCATATTCCCATTCAATGCTGATATCTTTGATAATAATCCTCATTTCTTCTTTTAACCTTTACAGAAAGTGACTCTTGCCACAACGTTTTATTTTATAATACCTATCTTGTTATTTCAGCCAAACATTAATAATTACATGCTTAAAGAGTTCTTAGACTGAGGGGAAATGAGAACCATAGCTGATATTAAATATGCAGAAAGACTAATTAGATCTATATAGAGCTTTTGGTTGGAGAATTTGAGGCAATTTTAATTTTCTGTTTGTATAGGAACCTTAGTCATGCAGTAGATCAAATGTAGTAGGCACTGTAGAAACACAGACAGAAAAGATCATTGATGTCCCCAAAGAGTTTTGTACATCAAGTATAAAAGAAAAGTTAAGGACAGGGAAGGACAAGGAATTACCGTTATGTTTTTTCAGTTGTTCAAAAGATTCTTTTAAGGGAGTTAGCATTTTTTTTCTATGTTTGATTTCAGCCCCATATTTTGCTTTTAATTTCATGAAGACTACCACAGTTATTTTAAGCAAATATAAAGTAAAATACATTTTCCTCATTTTTAACCAATGCCTATTTTAAAACTAGTTATAAAAACAATGTTTTACACATGTAAATGATCTAAAAGACTTCATAGTAATAATGACTTGCTGGTGGTATGCTCCCATCTGTGTTTGTCTTGTGTGTTTTAGATTACTGGGATATTTTAAGTGCTTGCAATTATACAGAATGATGAGCAAATGTATTTGACTGGAATTTTAGCCAGTGCTCAGATGCTGACACTCAGAAAGGTAATCAAGTGATGGCTCTTTCCAAAGGAGTTTTTACAAGCATAACTGGGGAAATTCTACTGCCTTCTAACCCAGGCTATCCCTTTCTTATGCCAAGGTGCTTGACAAACTCATTGAATTAAACATCTGTTTTTTCTTTGCTGATTTGACTTCTCGTAAAATAGACATCACACAGGTTATCTCAGTAGCTGTTCTCTCCTGTTTTTAGTGGTACACACCCGAGGCCTGTCTGCAGTTGAAAGAGCACTTCCATGCAGAGGTCAGGACTGCTTGTCAGCAGAGCACTGGAACAGTTGGGTAAGTTTGTAGTAAACCAAGTATGCATTGACGAAAGTATTTTCAGCTCCTTATAGCCTGCTTCCTTCACAGGCTTTGCCTCCCTCATTCCTCATCTTCCTCACACCAGTACATTTCAAGGCAGCTAAGCCTGTGCATGTGGCAGTTTTCTGACCTGTTTGACAGTAAATGAATAAAGTGCCTTTTGTTCCCATAAGTATTGAAGATCCTTTTTCTGCAGGTGCAAATAGCGTTGAAAAAAATAGAGAAGTTGTTTAGCAACAAATAGTTGTTTAGCAACTTTGAACTAAACTGTTAGTTGAAAAGATTGACTGTTTAAAGTTGGTGTTGAATTTTGCACATGTAAGTGCAACCAAATTCTAGAGCAGCTGTAAGGAATAGGGCAGATCTAGCCTTGCTGTATTCTCTGTTGGGGTTCCAAATTAGCAGTTAATAAAGACTTTGGAGGGATATAAAAACCCAGCAGTTCTAAGCTGTTTGAAACACATAAGAATCTAGCTTTAGTCTTTCAGTAGTATACATGCTGAGAAGTTCTCTTAAATGTTTCCTTAAAATTGGAGCAAAATTCTGGTGAATATATAGCAGTGAAAAATGCAAATAAACTGGTTTATGGCCTAGTAATAATCTTTAAGTTTGGGGTTTTTTTTCCAGATCATCTGTCTCCCGGAACTGTTACTAGTTCTGATTTAATTCCTGAAGCAAGGCAAGAAAGCTAAACTGTGTTAGAAATCATCACTATTCAGTTAAAATAAATAGCTGTATGTTTTAATGATAGATGTTTCTGTGTTCCAGTGTGAAGGATCTTTCATAAAGTAGAGCTGCTGACAGTTAGCTCACTATTCTTTCAAATCTAGAGTTGTTGATTACCACAAGACTTGTCATGATACCATCTTTAAAAGCAACTTTTTATTCATTTCACTAGGGAGTCTTGCTAAAAAAATTGAAGTCAGCTGAGAGACAACAGTGAGTTTATTACTTTTAAGAAGCATAGTCTTTGTTTTAATTTAATGTAAATTTGTTACAAGTGCCCAGACAATTTTGCTAGCAAGTCATGCTTTAGTGACTTGATGCATTTTTGTCCCTTCTGTAACCAAGATCTATTCGGGTTTTTATTTCCAGAGTAAAACAACTCTCCAGTTCATTTATTCTGGTAACAGAGTATAGCTAAAAAGCTTTACATTTTGTCTTTGTGAATAAAATTAGACCACTTCCCTGTTACTGTTCTCTAAATATCATTATTAGGTCATTCTTTGGTGGGGCAGGGGTAGGAGGGACAAACAGAGTGTTTTGTACAGTAATTGTAAAGCTTGACAGGAATAACCATTATCTTCCTTTTCCATTATCCCAAGTAATGGAATATTTTTTTGTCATTTGGAAAGGTAGTTTGAGGAATTCAGTAGCTAATGGCTATGTTTAAGACTCTTGATATTCCATCAATGTGTTTAATCTAGGCAGGGTTTTTTCCCTAATATGAATTAATGGAAACACACCTCTAAACCATCACTGACTTTTTTGCTTTTCCCTTAAGGTTGTTGATTGTATTCAGTATTTTATCAGTAAGTTAATCAGGCAGAGACATGTCAGGAGTTTAAGGGCCCGTGCCCACCCAGTTAGCACTGACTGGCACACAAAATGCCTTTTTTTTTTTAATATTAGTCATGGAGCTTACCAGTCAAGATTTGGACTATTTAGATAGAAACTTGGAATCAGCATCACATGGAAGCCTGATATATCCAGAAATAGTATGCAATAGAAAATGAATTCCTTTGTTTAAAAAGCCATTACTTGATACAAAAGAACATTAAACCTCTTAAGCAATTTTTGTAGCATGTGCATGAGAGATGTCAATCCAAGTTGAGGTCCACAAATAAACTTACATTCATTTATCCACCTATGTCTCCTAAAAGATACGCTACATTTCAATTTTAAGAATGCAGGCTGAGTCACCTAAAGCCCATCTGCTGTATTCTGTGGGAGGACCCAGAGCAAAGAGGATTATTTGCATGAAGCAAGCTTCAGATTAATATTATTTTAGATAGTCAGAAAATGTATTTGCTCTAACCATGTGGAGTTTTTTTCCCCAGAGACAAGTTCTGCAGCGGGTTATTTTATTATCAGCAATTTCTTATTTCTGCACTTAGGACTCAATTTGTACTATTGAAGTCAATGAGAAACTTGTGATTAATTTTAATGAAAAGGATGCAGATACTCTATGGTCTTATGTGCAAACTGCCAAATGTATATAATTGTAATCAAAGCAATTTTAATAGAATTTATGTCCCACTGGATTGTATTTAAGAAAAAAATATGTGAGAAAGTAATGGAGTATTTCTGCTCCAGAGGGGTTTGGGTTTTTGGGTGACCTTCTTTTTCTTTCTTACAATTTAAGACTCTAATCCAGCATCACTGTGACATTCAGGTAAACTGCAGTCACAGGTACATGTGCTCGTCACTTGCAATTTAAGGATCTAAATTAGAATTTTTAGAGAGAGAATGTAGAAATTTCTACTAAAAACATGTAATGTTTTCAAATATTTATAACAGGCTGAAAATATCCAAAGTTGTTGTGGTAGGAGACCTGTATGTTGGGAAAACCAGCCTTATCAACAGGTACAGTATATCTTAGCAGATGGTTTAATTCTGCTATTTCTCAAATAAATGTTACGGTGTTTCCATTCCTGTGCATTTAGGGTAGTAGTTCATGGTTCTGTTTTGAACCATGGTTTTGTTATTAAATAAAAGACAAAACAAAGTCTACAGTGTGAAACAGGCTTGATATGCCAACACTGAAAATCATGCTCTGGCACTTTTTTCTCTCTATCTGTTTTTTTTTTTTTTTTCCAATCTAACTGGGTTTTTTTAATGTAAGTGCAATGAACAGGTCACTGAATTTCTGTAGCTTATGGTCACCTGTCTATGTTTGTGTTTTATTATTATTATTTCTTCCACATTCTTAAGTAGGTATGGTAAGTTTTTAATCTCATTGATTAATCATTTGGGTCATTATTTATGACCCCCAAAATATCCCCCTGTAACTAAAACCATAAGATACTGTATCATCTTCCTTGACAGTCCAAAGACATTTCATTCTGATTCTTATCTCATCCTGAGTGCTTACTAGATGTATATGCTTTCTACTTTGTTATCTAGTATCTCCTTTTTTATAGTTAGTTGCTTGCTGTTTTTATATAAGCTTCTGCAATATATCACCACTCCACAGGTAGTTAATTCCTTTCTTCATAATTTACCCCAGATAGTGTTAGTTTTGCAGTTATTTGTAGCTGGGTCCTACTAGTATTTCATCCCTGTTTTTTTTTATTGCAGATTTTGTAAAGATAATTTTGACCGAGACTACAAGGCGACCATTGGAGTGGATTTTGAAATTGAACGTTTTGAAATAAGTGGAATACCATATAATCTCCAGATGTAAGTTGAAACAGCATGGTTAAGCATTGCACATAGTATGATCTCAGCAGAGCTTGAATTGCTACAGGCTCAAGTGGAATAAAGATTTTTAAAAAATAATAAAATTATACAAAGAATAATGTGAACTGAGAAACAGGTTCTGTACCTGAACTTGCAGTTTTAGTAAAAATTCTATTCTCTTGGATTTCTCATCCTTAAAAAATAAGTTTGTCAATTAAAAGTCATCTTGGATGCCTTCCAGCATTTCAGTGGAGTCTGGCCTTTTGTACTAAAGCTTCTTGAAAGAGAAGTGAAAGCTTTTGCCACAGACTTTGTCCAGTACTACTGTTACACCATTGCAGTTTTAATTTAGTAGGCACAATAAGCACTGAACTTGGCTTTACTGGGAGTTTTATCCCTGCAACCGTTGAAATTAATAGTAAGGTGTCCAGTAATTTCAGCATCTCTTAATTAGAGACTAATTGATTTTCCCCAAATCATAGAAAGACTGGAGCATTTTTCTTAGAATGTGAACTTAAAATCTTTGATTTTCAGCTTTGTTTACCAGACTCATGGGAATCCTGGCCTTCTCTCACCTGCTTTGGTTCTGCTGAAGGCTGTCCTTTGATATTTCCAGTGGCTAGCAATACTGTCTCGTAGAGGGTATTACGGAATCATCTACACTTTAGTGTGACCATCATAAATAAGATGCTTTGCATGAAGTATTTTAGTGCATGAATCTTTTCACTGAGGAACACATTTTTCCTGACATATCATTGATGTAAATAGATAACTAGTGCGACTTCTTGAAAAATACTTAGAAATCCATTTTGCACGGATTTCAGTGCCATTGTGTTTTTCAAAATTCTGCCAGGCACTATCCTTTTGAAACTGGAGTCCCTCAAACAATCTAGAGTGATGCATCAGTACTTTGCCAGCTGAAGCAATAAGGTTCATGAGCTACTAAACATCAGGTTGCACTACCTGCAGAATCTTCAGTGGCTGGGTAGATTTTCATATGATGAGCACTAGTGCCCCCTCTTGCTAAGAGATTTCCATACAAGATAAACTTAAACTTGGAAGTATCCATAACTGGCAGTGCTAGGCTATAACAAAAACCCAAACCTCTGCAGTGCTGGCAGTAACTGAGAGGACTGCATATCATGTTCATTAATAAGAAGCACTTTCTTGATTTTCTTTAATGGTGTCATTAGTCCCTGGTAGACTGAGCTGTAAGTCTCCAATTTGTAGTGTATGGACAGATATCATGTCTAGCAGTTGCAAGAGTCTAATATGGGCTAATATATGATTTAGCTAGTATTATCAGAGAAAATTTTTATTAATTAAATTGCCCTAGCTATACATGCAGTTGACATAGATGAGAAAAAAATGTTTTTTAAGAAAGGGGTATTACCATGCAGAATACAAATATTTGAGTTGTGTCTGCAAAATTACCAATATTACAAAAAAAAAAAAAAAGAAAAAAAAAAAAAAGAAAAAGATAAAACCAGAGTTCAGATGTCTTCATTAAATAATAGAGCTTTACTGTATTTCTGTCAGCAGTTAATGAATAACATGTTCCAGATGGTAACACTTCTCTGGTATCACATTCTTCTCCAACTTGTACCAATCTGCTGCTTCATTAGCATGTTTACTCAGGTTACACTGGTTTTCATTAACCTGAAATTTCTTTTTTTCACCCAATGCACAGATGGGACACAGCAGGTCAGGAAAAGTTCAAGTGCATTGCATCTGCTTACTACCGAGGAGCAGAGGGTGAGAACAATATTAATTTGATCCTTGCTGTGACAGAAAGTTGTACTTCATACAGAAACATATATGCTTAAGTGCTCCTTGGGAAGGTACCTGTAGACACAGTGTGGTGAAATGGATTGTCCTTTATTGGAGAGAAAAAGGGGCTAAAGAGCTCATGAACTGATAAGTTGTCACACCTGCAAGTTCTGAATGTTCTGATGATGCAATGATAAAAGTCGGCAGTTTTGTCTAGGGGGAAAACAATTTGGGTTTGGGTAAGATTGTTGGTGAAGTTAGAAGTGGATACTTCTGGCATTCCCTTTGATAAGAGACAGTTTCTGCAGGAATTAAAGTGATCCCCAAATAAAAGGAGTAATAGCACTATAGACTGCAGACTACAATTAAAACTAAATAAGGCTGAAGACTGAGGACTTCAGTCTTAACTGGGTGCTAGAGAATGGAGAGGAATGAGCAAATGGATAGTTTGCCATCTCTGTTACATCTGCTGTTGCGCTTTATATGTTGACATTCTCTCTGTTTAACAAGATGAGTTGGAGAGACTTCTGATACAATTTCCGAGTTAATTTTTTCCTGTTTTTCGTTTTTTATTGCAGTTATAATAACAGTGTTTGATCTGGCTGATATTCAGACTTTGGATCACACCAAGTAAGTTCCTGTATTTTGGCTTAGGCTTTAAAGCTTTTACAGCAGGTTTAATTGCCTTGAATAGCCTGTATTGCTGAGAGCTTGCTGGATCATGAGTGTATTTTTCTACTGAACTAAGAAATGAAGAAAATGCAGACCATAAATTTGAACTACTTGACCTTTACTTACTTTATAGTTAGTGGAGAGAAAAGGCACTTCTGAAAGAGCTTGATCCTTCCAAAACTAGACATGCAGGAAGAGAGGAAGTGCACCCCAACAGCATCCTTTTTTTCCTCCATTTGCTATAAACAGAATAACAGGCTGGCATCTGATGTAAATGATTAAATTGATGAGATGCATCTCATGCATGTCTCAAGAGCCTCTCATTTTCTAGGTGCACTGCTAGCCTGAAATTATTTTCTAGTTTCTGTAGTGATTCTGTTGGGAGACAGGCTGTCAAAAAGAGGAGAGAAAAATGAAAAACTCAAAAGTATATGTAGATATAGCTAAACTTACTGGTTCAGATACATGTAGTGGTTTGCTTACAACAGCACACTAATTGTTATGAGTAAACTTGTTCTGCTTTTAGTGCAGGCTGCAAAACCCTACATGGATCTATGATCCACATTGTTGTTGCCAGCTGAGTGTATATATTTCTAATATAGTGTTGTGACTGTAATGCAGGTACATGTTTCTTTACATCCTGTACTCTGTCTTATTTGAATGTGTATTAGACTATTTCGTTACACTACTGCTGTGATACTTAACTCATTTACATAGGACTTTGTAAAATAATATATATATATATATTAGTGTCTCTGCTTGGCTGAAAATGATTGAAGCCTGTGAACCTGATTTCCCACACATGCACACACTCCCTTCTCTCCTTGATTTGTGTTGGATGACTCAAGAGGAACTTGATTGCCAGAGTAACAAAAGTATAAAAGCTTATGAGACAAGAATCATGCAGCCTTCGTAGGGAGCTGGTTTAGAATGCTGAATAGATTATTTGACTCTTCTTTATTCTCGTTTTTATCTATTCTGCTATGTTCATATCTTTTCCTCTGCTTCTTGTTTTCTTATTCCTTATCCCTATCAAAATTTTGCCCCCTCCCTTATACTGTTAAATACGCTCCCTGGGTGCTAAAATCATCGTTGAATTTACACTCTACTGTGGGCATGTTTGAACTTTTCATTAGTGGAAGGCTGTATTCAAAGGAGTTGGAATAGCTCCTGTTCTCTTTCTGTCTAGAAAAAAAGGCTTTTGATACTGTCACATAAGTTCATCCTCTCACTTTTCTTGTGTCCCTATTATCTGTCACTTTCTCCTATATTCCTCAGTCCCTCTGACTGGTTCTCTTATTTCTCTTTTGTATTTCAGACAGTGGCTAGAAGATGCACTGAGAGAGAATGAGCCAGATTCTAGCTTCATCTTTCTGGTTGGAACAAAAAAAGATTTGGTGGTAAGTAAATTGAATGCAGATAAGGAAATCAGATTTCCCGTAGTTCCTCAAGTGATTTCCTTTACAAGTTGTACACAATGTTGTTGAGATAAAGACCTTGAGAGAAAAACCTAAACAGAAAGAAATAAGATCACAGGTAAATAGAACAGCACACTTGGAACCAATTTAAGAAGACACTTTATGAAAAAATGGGTGAAATATCCTTATTTCCATTCACTGCATGACATTTTTCAGGCACATACAAACAACTGAAAAGGCAAAGAAAAGTGGGGTGTACAAAAGAATGGAGTACCTAATAGTCTTGGAGGTTTTATTGGTTTGTTTTTTAGGGACAGTGTGTTCATTATTCGGGAACAGTGAAGAATTCTTATTTAACTGATTGTGACATCATTTTCAAAAGAACAGCATACAATATACCATTCCAAGTCTCGTGTTTGTCTTTCTCTAGCTATCAATACTTAAAGATTTCAAAACAAGCTTGCTGCTTCTGCTCTTCAGTGGATTATTTTTTTTTTTTTAATTTCCCACCACCCCCCCAGCTGCCACAGTATCACTTATGCAGTTTGTTTCTTACCCTTCACTGAAAATGTCCCAGAAAACTGCATGTCTGTCAGTTTTTCTGGTACTTTGTGTTGCTTATGCTGGTTTTTTCTGAGTCACAGCAAAAGCTAAATGTGCCAGACCTCTGAGGACACAAATCTGAAGTCTTGTCTAAACTAGAATTCCTTACTGTAAGTTAGTTTCTGTTTTTAGAATGATAACAATTTCAACTGAATGGGAGATAAGAGCAAAGCAAAGGATTGTGGGTTCTTGGTATTACTTCAGTATGAAGGCAGTCTCTTCCCAGCTGGATTCACTCTACTTCTCAGCTTGATGTCACATCATCCTTTCCAAATTTTTAGAATTCTTCTAAACTGTTCAGGGGTTCCCCACTGTAAGACAATGTGCAGAGAACCACACAAAGATGACTGGCATCATCTATCACAACTGGGCTAGAAATTGAAAGCAAATAGCAACATGCTGATATGATTGATCACAGAGAACTGATGAGAGGGGGGAAAATACCTGACAATTAAGTGCAAAAAAGCAAAGTCCATTGAAGGGGAAAGAAATTTTAGTCTTAAGAAGAGATAAACAAGAGCAAAAATAAAAAGGAAGGAGGGTCATTGTGTTCCAATGTAATAAAAATAGATGGAGTAGAAAAAGGGATCTGGGACAGAGATGAGAAAGATTAAACACAAAGAACTATTGTGATTAATCAGTCCTGCAGCTCTTCTGCTGAGCATGATGGGGTGACAAGAATTTAAAGACCAGCAACTGGGCTGTTGTCTTTATAGCTCCCTACCACACTATATAGTTGGATACAAGGGTCACACTTGTTAACTGTTGTTTTGTTTCAATGCTGTGGGAGATGAACAGAGACTTTCATTTTAAAAGCATTACTAAGTGCTTGAATGTTCTTGCAATCACGTCTGATTGCTCACGTTCTAAAGCAAGGCCAGAATGACCCCTGTGAAATCGGGAAGCATCACCATGTAGGTACTAGCAGTACCTCTGTGTTACTACCAGCCCAAATACTCTTCTTATGTTAAAGTTATTCCATGTTATTTATGCAGTCAGATGCTGTATGTGAAAGGACAGAGCTAGATGCCATCCGCTTTGCCAATGAGATGCAGGCAGAATACTGGTCGGTTTCAGCCAAAACAGGTAAGTGACTGCAAATAATGTAAAAATAGCATCACCACAAAGGCTTGTGCTAAGGTGGGAAGAAGTTAAAGTTCCTTATCCCCCCATTCCCAAGCAGGTTTTTTGTTCTTGCATTTTTCTTGCTATTGGAAACTTCAGGTTATTAATGATTGATTTTATTTGGGTGTTTGTATGTGTGCTTGCACTGTCATGTTTACAGAAAGGAGTACTTGAGCTGCTGTGCAATGTCTAAGCATGTTTAATTCATAGGTAGTTACATAAATACACACGTGCACTGCCACTCAACATTAGCAGTGAAAAAAAAATTATACCACAAACTGAATTCTCTCTGCTGCTGACTAAAAATAAAGGTACAATAGAGGGTACAGTATTCCAGAGTATGAAAATGAGAAATTCTCTCTGCAGTGATCAGTATGGCAGGCAGATTGTTGGAGAAGCCTGTTCTGTCCCAGTATTGAGCTGTGATCTGTTCACAGATAAGCTTGTTATGCTTGATCACATGTTGATGTGCAGTTTTTTAAAAAAAACATTATTTCTGTCCTGTTTCCTAGGGGAAAATGTCAAAGAGTTCTTTTCTCGAGTTGCTGCCTTGGCCTTTGAACAGTCCATGATAAAGGAGCTGGAGAAAACTGATGGGCACATGGTCCAAATTGGGACAGGAAACCTTATCAGTAAGTTAAGTTTTGCTTTTTGTGTGTATTTTCCTTGTTTACAGTCTGAAGAACTGGAGAAGTTTTTCAAGTGTTAAAGCCTGTTTCAAACACCTGCAAGCATATTCATATCATACTACCGGAGTTCTAGCATATAGGAGTGAATAGGGCTGCATTCAGCATTTGTTATCCTTAGTTTTGGATGGTAGAATTTCTTGTGAATTGATTTTATAACTTTTTGTTTCTACAGAACTGGAAGACAAAATGATGGAAATCCCAGACAGCAACACTCAAGTCAGCCTGAGTTGCTGCTAACTGTCAACTGTTTCTGCAAGTGCCATGTTCTCTGTAGTCTACCATAGAGCACCTGCAACAATGAAAGCTCTCAAACCAGAAATAGAAAGCTTTATTTTTGGAAATGAGAGGGGAAAAACTTACCCAAACTTTCTTTCTCAGAGTCCCCTTGCTGCTGCAGGCTCACTTGTGCAGGATGGTACAATTGTTACACAAACCTTTCTCTGTGTAGTGGAAATGTAACATCTTTGTCTTAATTCAAGAAAGACATTGTCAGTGCCATGTGCTCACCTGTCCACCAGAAACACTTGTAGTCAAAAGTTACATAATTTTACTTTGATAATTCTTAGATAGTGAAGTTGCATTCTCATGGGAGCAGAAAACAAATGACAGTTCAGAATAAAGGGTGCTACCCATATATTTGCCTTTTGAGACCATGGTATAAAATAACTCTGACTTGCTTTTATGCATTCCAAACGTTTTAAAACTGTTCCAAAAGAAATCTTTTTAAATAACAGGTATGAAAGTACACAAATGCAGACTGCGCAGTTTCCACTGTGGTTTTCCATCCATGAAAAATCTGTATTTTTCATTTTCTGCTTGAGAATCAGAGCCCAATATTTAAATATTTCTGAGCCTAGGAGAAATGCAGTAGGAACTTTGTTCTTTTGTTCTGGTTGTCTAATATTTTGAAAATGTTACCAGACAAAAGTGTTATTCTTTTCCACACTCTTAAATAAGAAAGGATAGTCACATAGGTGCATGGCATGGAATACATGAAATCTAATTTTTCATCTTCCAAAGAGGATGCAGAATCCTTCACTGGATTGATCTTAACAAATATTTTCTGCACTGCAGTTCTACTTTGTTGCTAAGAGTAATGACTTTTTAATTTTGTTCTAACTGGGGTATTGTTGTTTGTAGCAATGTAATGTGTTTCTGGAACCATATGCAGTCTCAGTCATGAACTTGTTCCTCCCTGTCTGGGGTAGGCACTCTGAGCTGGTAAGGTTAAATTTGATACTGCTGCTGAACTCTTACTCACTGTATCTGCTTTTACTGGACAAGATAATTTGATCACTAGATGCTTGGAGCAATTTGCTCCACTGCTTAATAAAAGCAGTAATGGTAGAGAAATAGTTTTGCCTTTTTCTGAAAAGACATGCAAGCATATGTGGGTTTAGAGGGATGGGAAAAGATGGGAATTCTCCCAAGCAGACACTTGCTTGTTAAGTCCTAAGGTACTTGCCATATGTAGATGTCATTACTGAGTATTTATGGTAGAACCTGCCCTCTGGACATGTTGCTGTGGCTTGGTGTGCTGGCTGGATCAAAAAACGGTTGCCCCAGTTTTGCTTTTTCAAATACTCTTTGACATAACCTTGTGCAATTAGTCCTTTAGACATGACAATTGTTATTTAATGAGGAGAGATCAGCTCTGGGTACCATCCAAGTAAAGCAGCCTTACAATGCTCTTCCACTCTTTGGGCAAGAGTGACTGATGCCAAAAGATATTCCTGTTTTAAAAGTAATTCCTGCTGACAAATGACACTGCAGGAAATTTGAATGACTAATAATGTTGCCTGAAATTACTATAACAAATACTTGGCCAAGTATTTGTGAAATTGTATGATTAATTATGATAATTAGGCTTAAACTGAAAAAGTACAGAAGAAGGGAAAGGGAAATAAATTCATTTTATTTCCCTCTAATTTTTTCCAGTATGTCACTGAATTTTAACATTCAGTTCTGAGTATTTAGTTGGTGATATTTCTCTAAAGATAAAGGAGATGCTGTAAATCTTCTGCTTGCACTAAACCGTACAAATATATGGTCCTTCAAAATTATTATAAACACTCAAATAAAATAATTAACAAAAGAATCAAAGTGGGACAACAGGAAGACTGCTTCTCTAGATATCTTTCAGCAGCTTATAACTCCATACTTTTTAGATCCAGCATTACATGCTATGCTATGCTAGCATAAAAGAAAAGGAACATCTTCTATAATGCTCTAAATTTCATATTGCAACTATTTTAAATGGAGAGAAAGAAGAAAACCTATGGAAATTTACAACTTACAGTGTCTTAAGAGATTCATTCAATCATTGCAGAAACAATAGTGTCTAGAAAACTGATTAGAAAAGGACCTTCCAGATATGAACTGCTGAGATAATAAAGACATTTGTTAATAAATCTATGCCTCACACTGAAAATATTCTAGATTCTCTGCCCAATTCCCCCTCCCCAATTATTTGATAAGAAGTAGGAAAAAGTGGAGAAAAGATGACTTAAACATCCTTTTTATTGCTGTTATTTTCTTATGATGTAAGTTAGAACAGCTTCATAGAATATGAGTAGAAATCTAGGAACTCTGTCTTTTTTTTTATTGGACAGTCTTGACTTTGGCAACTGTGCTGATTCTGTTGGCAAAGACATGAATGTAGCATTTGGCGGAGAGTATGAATATGTGTGGGTATGTAAGGAGTTATTTATCCAAATGTGTAATATTTTGACCTATGATGCTCTGTGTATTTGTTCATCTCCAAAATCTGTTTCACAGATACCCTCCACTTGTACCATGTGCTGCACTGAGTGGGCAGCATAGCCATGGTCTTCAAGTTTACCGAGTTTGAATGAGAGTAGAAAAGATGGTTCAGTCTACTGCAGCAAATCGTGTTGTCTAGGCTAGGTGCTAGGTTTCAGTGCAGACATGTTAGTGTTTACAGCTGTAAAATGACTCAGTAACAAATCTAAGAAAAGATCAGGTTTCCATTTTAGTTTTTTTTCCCCAAAAATATATCTACTAAGTGTTTCTTTCATTGCTGTGCCCAATTATTGTACAAAATCAGAGATGCAATCTCTTCAACAGTGCAATCACATTGCTTGAAAAATCAACTGGGAGAGTTTTTTCTAGTGATTCGGTACGTTGCTTGATGTCATTACAGTTTGTATCTTCTGGAGCTCCAAAAACTTCATGTACAAAGGCAATACTCTGTCAGTCATTAACCATCACTCCATCTATTCTGTGATGGATGCTTTGAGACTGTTTGGTGGTTTTTTTTGTTAGTGGTTTTTTTGTTGTTGTTGTTGTTTTTTCTTTTGGTTGGTTGGTTGGTTGGTTTTGGAGAGGGTGGGGGGTTTAGCTCTGCTGAGACTTCCCCTGCAAAGAACTCAGTATTAATAATTGTTCATCTAAAATGAATCTTGGATCATGTTGTGAATGATGAATTGTTTAAGAAAGCACAAGGGAAACTAAATTTGGTGAAAAAAGAAATGTAAATTTGAGAGTTCTTAAATGTTTCTATCTGGTCTATGTTTTATCCATGCACGTTAACCCATTCTATCAGCAACGGAATTGGCTTTGAAGAAGCCTTAATACTGTGGGAAATGGTGTTGAAACAACTGTTAACTCTAAACATAGGTAGGCTAGAACACGATTTTTATACCAGTTGGAGTCTTCACAGCGATCATGGCAACAGTTGCAGTGTCAGCTTTCTTGTGGAATCCACAGCTGAGAAATTGGAGAAGTGAAATTCGGAGGCAGTCTGAAGCAAAGATAAAGAGCAATTTTAATAAGCAATTTCCCAAAGGAAGTACCAAAGTTATGCTATTTCTTGTCTTAATAAGTAGAAGTTAATATGTTAATGAGTTCCTGTTTAAATAAGCATGTATATCTCCTCAAGCAAAGCAACTGGTAATGGATCAAAAGCCATTTAAGAAACAGTCACTTGACAGGCGAAATTCACTTCTTACTATAAAAGCCTTTCCTTTTCGTTTTTAATGATGTTGTTTCTGCCTTTTGAGTGTTTATTTGACACTTAGGATATTATTATTTATATTCTTATAGGTCCTGTGATTCAGATCTTTCTGAATCCTGTTGGTTCCCAGCTCAGGCTCATCCTGTTGTGGTACGACCAGAGTCCATTCTTCATGAATAAATCTGTCCCCCTCTGTGTCTTTTCAGGTTTTCATCCATAGTTAGAGATCTTTCTAGGGAGTACAGTGTAACGCACTGGTGCATGAATGCGATGAACACCTCTCTGTATTGCATCCTCTGAGCGTGCAAGTTGGAATGTTTGGCAGGTTGAAGTGGTAGCAGAATCTGCATTTGATAGTGGAGATGGTTGATCGGTTTCTTGTGGTTTTTTTTAGCCAGAAGGTTGTTCTTACAGTGAGAAATTGTCATTCTCTGAATTCTAATAGGAGAGTTCCCATTCTTCTGGGTTCATAGAATGATTTAGACTGGTTGGGACTTCTCGAGACTTACCACCCTTGTCAAACTACCAGAGAGTGCTGCTTTGTGCTACAAAAATATGTTTTCTTAGTTTCAGCCACAGAATAATCTGAAATCACGTTTTATTTCTCTTTAAAAAGACTCTGCTTATGTCGTACCGGTTTTATTTTTCTTACAAAACCTCTGATTCTCTCGTGGGACTATGCTGAAGAAACAGGTCACAAGTGACAAGCTCGTTTGTCAGACTAAGCTGACTGGCTCTTCTTTCCCACGAGAGGGAGCTCTCTGGTCACCGTAGTGCTAGTTCCGTTTCGGCTGAGAAGGGGTTTGCAATCTCTCGTAGGCCAGCAGAGGGTAAATGCTGGATGGCCTGTCTGTAGTTTAGCCCCCTCATCACAGGTTTTTCAGGCTCACATCACAGATCTGTGTCTGTCGCCATAGCCTTACTGAAGTTTTGTGTCTTATTAAAGTAATACTCTGTTGAACGCAAAACTTCAGAGATCCCTTCAATTCCCACTGGAATTTCTGACGTTGTAGTACCCCAACAGATAAAGAGGGTGGAGATGTTGAATAGTATTGTTCACTAGAAGTTAAGTGTGCATACAGAAATCCCTCCTCTGACTCATCAGAATTCTTATCCCTTCCAGAAAGGGCACAAATGTCAGAAAAGTGAACCCAAATAGAAGAAAATCTAGACATAAAAAATCAGATTTGTGAGACCAGTAAAAGTAATGTATGAATTCAGAACATATCCCTATGATGTAATAGACCTCATTATATAACTGTGTCAGTACAGTCTTAAACTTCGTTTTACTAGAAATACTGTCAGAATTTTGTTGTTTAAACTGGCACTCAGGCAAATAAATAGCAAGCAGTATCAAAGGTGAAAAGCCAATTTATTTTATTTCTGTAAAAGACTGAGATTTCTATGAAGATTTATAGATTTTATTATGATTTAGTTGATAACCTGTTTTCCATATAGGTCAGCCAATGCCTGTTATGTGTTTAAAAGCTGAGGAAACAAGTGCAGGAAAAGAGGTTGAAGCCAGGAAACAAAAACCAGGAGGGATGAACTATGCAAAACTGAATACATGATTAGCCATGTGTGCTATGTCTGAAAATACCCCAAAATATTTTGTTTGGTGCATAAAAAAAAAACCATGAAGAGAAAAACTGTTTAATGGGTTATGAAACATTACATCTCAAAGATGAGAGAGCTACTCCTCTGGACTTGTGCTTTTCATTCTTAGGGGATTTGTTTAGTTCTTGCTGGAGCTATACCCTACCCTCTTTTCTAGTGATATGTGCTAGAAAATACACACCTCACCACAGACATGGAAGAAGCAGGTTTAGGGGGGATGTGAGACACATTTATCTCACTTTTTCCTATCGTCCAAACAGGCACGGTGGAACTTCAGGTGTATGTTACCACTTTTTCTTTCCTTGTACTAATCCAACCTCTGAATACAGGAGACTATGTCCTGTGATTTCAGGAGTGATACTCAGCAGCCAGCCTTTTGTTTAAAGCATTTGCCCCCTTTCATCCAGAGCTGTGGTGTGGACCTGGGTTATTGTGGTAGTGCGATAGGACAAAGGTGAGACTAACGCCCGAACAAAGCCGCCTTTATTGTTAATAGCACCGTGATTCTGGAGTGCCAGCTGCCCATCTCCGAGGCCCACCTGTCATTTATTGGTGAGGAAGGAAGGATGGCGTGGGTGACAGGCCTTCCGCAGCATTAGTGGGGGAAAAGGCGACCTTTGAAGGTGAGCTGCATCCCTGCCTGGGGGGAGCGCTGCTGCGAGCGCAGGAGGAACACACAGAGGTTACCCACAGCGGCCGGGGGCGCGGGTGTGGGGGCACGAACGGCCACCCCCCGCGGCGGGGAGCTCCTTGCTTGGGCGCACTCTTGCCTCTCTCGGGGGACGTCCAGGCCGCAAGCGTCCGCCCGTCCGCACCTCCGCCTTTG